TCCTCTCTGTGAAAAATCAATAAAATATATATTTTTTTAAAAAAAAAAGAAAAATCAACCAAAAAAATGAGTTCACGTGTCACCTCTGACACGCATGTCATAGGTTTGCCATCACTGCTCTAGTCTAATAGAAAGACTGAGTACCTACGACAGGCCAGGCACTTCGCTTGGTCCTAAGGCTCAGGAAAGATTTACAAAACAAGATTCTGATCCGTAAGCCCCACAGCGGATGGAGGTGATCATAGTCACATTCCCCAGGACATATGAGGGAGTGCGATTCAGTGTTTGCTACATGAAAGGCACTCCGTTGCTGTGTTAAAAGAAATCATCAGGATATAGCAATTACTCCCCTACTGGCTTATAGAGAAACCACACTCAGCTTCCTCTTTGCAGCTGAAATTATCTTACAGAACACAAAGCTCAGATAGAGGTGCTGAAGATGTTTTGATTCCTCCCCTCCCCTCCCCCCCTGCAAAAAAAAATAACATCTCTAAGTCTACACGCACCTGACACAGTTATCAATTCTGATCAACCATAAGCTATTTTGGAGGGAAAAGCAATTAATGCCATATTAAATAGCAGGCAACCAATGGGTAGAAGCAAACTGGCCACACGAGAAACTATACTCATCTGAGCCCTTTGGCTTTTGTTTATTCTGAGGCTAATGCCACTGAATTGCTTTAAATGGCTTTCAAGTCACAAGCTGATTCCTTGGCCAAAGATTAGGGAAAGTATGGTTTCCCCGCCAACTCCCTGACCTTCCAAGATCCCGAGCTGAAACCCCAAGTTCTTAGCGCCAGTTGTTTCCCTGTGAACTTGGCTCAGAAGCCCAGAACCCGAGGAAGGAGACCTGAAAGGCACCTTTCTCAAAAAACAATTGATTTGCTTCATTTCATTGCAATGGCTGCTGCTTTGATGGCTCCTATTTACCATGGCTTGTCCCGCTCTCCGATGGAGCTGATATGTTGGAGACTTTCACACTATAAACCTGATCGGAACTTCCTCCGTCATAAACAGACTGGGTTTAAGGGGGCGGAGGGGGGGTGCCCCCCTCCCTCCAGGGCCCCCGGAGCCCATTTGCTTACCAATTTGTAGCTAAAGACATAAGAATGTGTTCTTCATGCCCAGCTGCTCCCGGTAGTTGAAAATAGTTCTGGAAGCTCAATATGCAAACCAGGTTGGGCGCCTGAAAGAGTTCAACGAGAAGAAAATGTGACCTTCCTCAGAGAAAGTTGCTCAGATACATTCATTTTTTAAAGCACGGGATTTCCGGAACACTAGCAAGCTGGGGTTCGAGTTTGCAATGTTTTTCTTCTAAATGCCAAAGGTGGGTCCAGTTTCACAGTGACTCAGGTTGAAGCTCATCATGGAAACATGTTCCCATTACAAAACAAGAGACCCACGCCCCCACTCATCCACATTAAGGCCTATAACGCTGAGGCTGAAATTTAGCAGCTACTGAGGGGTCTGGGGTGGATGGATTTCCCTTTTCAACTCCACTCTTTGGGGCATGTGCTGGGTGAGTTTATTTCCGTTCTTTTCTTTGGAACAGCAGTTCCAATTGAATTGAGATCACGTCAAAATCAAGCCATTACATTAGGGCAAAATGCTGCCCCACGCTGCCCCACACCTTTTTCCGAGTAGAAGGTTTCATTGAACAGGTATGTCCTATGACAAGGTGCGGGGTCTCACCCTGGAACTTTCCTATCAGTTTGCAAAGCGATTTTGCCAGAGCAGCGCTTGGATCTGTTATAGTGAGTTCAGAGTTGACCTAACCAACAAGAAATCCAACCAAAACCTCCAAAGACACAAGGAGTCAATTAGGGTCATTCCTCAGTACCCAGAGATACTTTCTCCTCCGCAGGTCTGAACAAAATGCTTGCCAACTAACCCTAACCCAACCCATCCACACTCCTGCCTACGAAGAGAATGACATGAATTTCTTAGGGAAAAATCTCAGGCCAAAAATTAAAAAATCTTTTTCCACGTTACAGTGGATCCCTACTGGACTTCTCCCTTGATTTCAGCAAAATCCCTCCATGATGCCCAGCCCTGTTTTTAATGTAGTTCTTCTGATTTTCACCTATTTTTTTCTTTCATGATGAAAAATAACGGATTCACGATGGACTTCTCCCTTGATTTCAGCAAAATCCCTCCATGACGCCCAGCCCTATTTTTAATGTAGTTCTTCTGATTTTCACCTATTTTTTCTTTCATGATGAAAAATAACTGATTCACGGGTTCTTCATAAAAACGATGGCAATCATGGTAAGAGCATGATTACGAGGAAATGTCATTTGTGCAGGAGACAGAAGACAAGATGAGGTGATTGTATGTCAGGGTTTCTTAACTATTTTTAATTGGATTCAAAATCAGCAGCTTGAGCATTGCTTTAAATCACCTTTAAAAGCAGATCTCAACCTGAATGATGGATGAGAAAGCTTTTGTGGGAAGCTGTTCATTAGCGAGGGAACATTACCAAGGAAAAGCTGTACCTCTTGAAAAGCAAAGTCACATTTTAAATAAAATGAAACCATAAAATTGTAGATTTGTTTTACTATTTTTATATTTATTATGTATGTATACATGTGTGTGTATGTATGAGAATAGCATAGACTGCTTTCCCATGGTTCAGTTATCTAAACTGTCTGGGAATTGATAAAAATAAAAAATTTTAAATCTCCTTATTTCCAAATATTTCTGTATTTATTGTCATAAGAATAAAACATGCAAATGATCTTTTCCTCAAAAAGTTTTTAGAGGCTTAGCTGCCAGTTAAATGAGAGAATATCTACATAGACAAAAAAAATTAGAGGATAATCAATTAAAACTAAAGTGTCCATGTTGATTTAATAATCTATTTCAGGCTATGTAGATTCGAAGAAATAAATCAATAGAGGTTAAAAATTAGTCTGGTGCCCTGGCTGCTGTGGCTCAGTTGGTTGGAGCATTGTCCTGTACACCAAAAGGTCTCAGGTTTGATTCCCAGTCAGGACACATACCTAGATTGTGACTTTGGTCGCCGAATTTATTTCTCTTTCTCTCTCTCTCTCTCTCTCTCTCTCTCTCTCTCTCTCTCTCTTCTTCTCTCTCCCAAATCAATAAACATTTGGATTAAAAAACATGAGGATTTTAAAAAATGGGGGGGGGGGGAATTAGTCTGATGACTCCAAATGTTTATATACTATACAGGGTGGGGCAAAAGTAGCTTTGCAGTTGTGAGTATGCAAAACACAGCTAATTCTTGTATTATTATTTACTAATTGTTGTGTTATTTTTCCATACAAACTGTAAACCTACTTTCAACCCACACTGTATGTACATGTGTATTTATCTAACTTACGTAATACTAGAGGCCTGATGCACGAAATTCGTGCAAGGGGCTCGGCCCTCGCAGCCCCGGCTTCGTCTGGAAGTTTGTCCAGAAGGACATCCGGAAGGTCGTTCGGCTGTCCGGTCTAATTAGCATATTACGCTTTTATTATTATAGATAATCTCTCAATTCAATAATGGCTTGGCAGAAAAATCATGGAAGCGCTTTTGCATTCAACAAGAGTTCCTAATCGCAACAAAATTGGGGAGGTGTGGGATGGAGGGGGTGAATTGGGGAAGAAAAGGGGGACATCTGTAGTACTTTCAACAATAAATTTTTAGAAAATTTCAATTCCACTCCTGACATCTTCTTGAATTACAGAAGTCACTTGTCTTTCCTGTGTCCGTCTCAACTAGAAACCTGGACCAAAATCCTTCCCTCCCAATAGATTCGGTATATAAAATACTCAAATTAAAAGCTACATTATCAAGTACAAAATAAAGTCAATTGTCACAGTTCTCTGCAGAAGAATGCAGGCGAAACACAAGCTACCCAGTTGCAAATAAAGGTGAAAATTTAGAGTCATCATTGATCGCTGCGGAATCCCGTCAGCCCAGGGAAGAGTTAAAATCTGAGAACTCCCCAAAGCTTAGATGACTTTGGAAACACAGATCAAAAACAAAGAGACGGAAAGTATAATTAACTCCATTACTGCTCAGTCAAATGAAAACAGCCATGACATCCTTTCTTATTTATGACCCCGGCAAATGGCTCAATTCCAGGCCTGAATATTGCTGTCGGCCTGCACCGGCTCCCTAGCAGGTGAGGCAGCAACAAGCTCCTGAAATTTATGTCGCCGGATCGTGTTATCTGGAGAAGATTTATGCGGAAGTCCCATAAAAAATAAGTAGCTTTTCTATCTTCTTATAACAATTCTTGCTCTCAGCAAACAAAAGCTGGAATTTTCTAAAGTGCATTTAGAACAACAAAAATTCTACTTGCTTAAATATACATGTTGTCTCAGATACTGGAATTTACCAATAGCAATTTAAAAAAAAAATCCTTAATCAAGCCATCTCTTAACATGTATGACTTATTTTCTTTTTACAGTTGTCCTGCTTGGTAACTGGAGAATTCATCAGTGTGGTATATTATTCGCCACTCTACAGAATGGCAATGGGAATACTTTAGGTCAGTGGTCGGCAAACTGGGGCTCGCGAGCCACATGTGGCTCTTTGGCCTCTTGAGTGTGGCTCTTCCTAAGCCTTAGGAGTACCCTAATTAAGTTAATAACAATGTACCTATCTATATAGTTTAAGTTTAAAAAATTTGGCTCTCAAAAGAAATTTCAATCG